TCCATCCATCCATCCATCCATCCATTCATCCATCCATCCATCCATCCATCCATCCATCCATCATCTTTACTAGCTTCTTCCTTTTCGGGTTGTGGGGGTCACTGGTGCCCATGTCCAGCAGTCACTGTACGAGAGGTGAGGGACACCCTGGACATGTCTCCAGTCCATCACAGAGATAGAGACAAACGAGACAAACAACCATTCACTCTTTCACTCACACCTAGGGACAATTTAGAGTTACCAATCATCCTAACATGCATGTTTTTGGTCTGTGGGAGGAAACCAGAGTACCCGGAGAAAACCCACACGCGCTAGAGAGAACATGCAAACTTCACCCAGAAAGATCACGGGCCGGGATTTGATCCAGTGACCTTTTTCCTGATAGGAAACAGCTCTAACAACTTAGCTACTGAGCCGCTCACTGTGTTAGTAATATAATAAGTCACAATTCCTGAGCTAATTTTCAGTGTTGTGCATATATCTTAGACGTACCCTCTGAATGGTATCATCCACACTGGGCACAGGGAGTCGAGGTAAAGCTGCCTGAAAACTGTAGAGCAGTGGCCTCCGTCCAGAAAACATCTTTACCAGCCTCTGTTTGGGGAAAAAATACATATGATCATGAATTATATTTACTTGGCCTTTTATATCAGATTCCTTAGCATTAATTTCACCTTTTACACAAGGATCTGTAAACAGTTGACTGGCAAAACAGAACAAGTAAGACATAGATGCAAACATACCAGCCACACTTTGGTTGATGTACTCATTTTTCCATGAGATTCAAAAATCCATCCATGGTAGGAAAGAAGAGCTTTGAGAGAGTATTTCATGAGGTAGATGAAGAAGGTCCACAGTCCAGTGGCAAACAGGATGGCGCTCAGCACAGATCTGGTCTGCATCGACATCCCGTCTCTGCTCAGAAAAGGCACAACACTGCCTTCATTTAATAAAATTTAAACAGACAAATGCAGGCTGGTTTTTCTAAATTAAAAAAAAAAACGTTTCATGTGGAATCACAGAATAAAAGATGTGGTAATTTGAGCTGTTGAGGTTACTGACTTATGTGGCAGGTTTTCCTTCATCACAGATATCATTCCCAGAGAAAAGTCCATGTGTGTATACAAGGAGCTCATCATGGCAATGACAATTATCAGCCAGCTGGACGGGCTGGCAGGGTAGACCCCAGCTAGAACTCCATTCTGTAAATAAAACATTAAATTAGATATTGGTTGAACATAAAATCATCACCTCTGTTCTGTTAAATATCACAAACAATGTAAAGCCAAGTTATAAAGCTCTTAGGTACCACACATTATTACATTTATCTTATTAGCTTATTTCAGAAATTAAAACCACAGGTAAGCATGAGTTATACCTGCAGTGATGGTGTTTGTACCTTAAATAAAATGGCTCTCTTCTTCCACACTGTCACTCCTGACAGGTAGATATTTTTGATGACCTCTTGACTCAGCTTAATGTCCACACCGTCTGGGTGCACAGTGAACTGGAAGCCCACCGCCTGGTGAGCCTCAGCCATGCTTGTGGATTACTAAAATAAATTAGCAGTAAGAGACTCTAAGGTTTCAGAATAATTTATTGTGTAATAAATATAAAAACTATCCTTATGTATGCTCAATAATCAAGGAAGAAAAAAATCTAACAAAGTTACCGTAATTTCCGGACTATAAGCCACTTCAATTCCACACACTTTGAACCCCACAGCTTATTCAATGCTGTGGCTAATTTATGGATATTTTTTTTTGACGTGCTAACGAGCTTCCTGCCACCAAAACATTTAACCTCGTTACACCCCGGCGCTCACATAGCTGCCCAATACACATCTCTCCTGAGGGGGGTGGGTCCTCGTGACTCAATGAGACTACCTGTCAGTGGTCTAGTCTATGTGATACGTGGGTTTACGGAGTATACCCACTAGAAAAGCATGGGAATTTCAGTAAACCCACTTAAAAGTGCCCAATGACACATGATATATTACTGGGCATGTGTCATTGTCAACACATTTGGAACATTTTATAGACAAATTGAGTTTGGTTCAACCTGTTTTATGTATAATTAATACTTCAGTACTTACTACTTACTACTTGAACGTTTTGCATTGATACTGTTTTATAAATTCTACAACATGTTTTTAATACAAAGCCAACTGTTGTACAAAGTTTGTTGTACATTTATTCAAATATAAGCATCAGAGACATTTTGAAATGCTCAATATGCTTAAAAATCAAAATAAATGGCCCTTTACATTGTACTTCTGTTTCTAAGCACAGTATACCCGTACAAAAAATGTAGACTACACCACTGCTACCTGTATAAATAAAGGTAAAAAATAAAATCTGACCTATGAAATTACTAAACAGGTCACAGTGGACCAGTGAAACGAGTGGAGGAGAGAACAAGGAGGGGGAACTTGTGCCTCACCCTGGGGGCACAACAAAGTATTTGCAGCCACTCGATATCAGTGTGAACCGTGTATTGAAGTGACACTCGAAGTTCGGTGGGAAATCGTTTACCAAAACTGGCGGCATGCAAAGAGCATCTTCTGCTTCAGTCTGCCAGTGGATGCTGACAGAGGAGCAGTTTAAAAAATCCTCTGCAGGAGGAAGATGAAGACAGAGATCAATGACTTCCTGGTAGGCTACTGTATTTTTTTTTTAAACCAGCCATGTTATTGGCTATGTTCAGAATAAAAAACTTTTACTGTACGTATTTGTGTATGTTACCAATACGTAATTAATCAAACGTTTAAAAAATCTTTCTGTGTAAATGTCTCACGTTACAACATGGACACCCGCCGCTTATAAACAAGTGTGGCCTATATATGTACAAAATTATTATTACTGTTTAAATTTTGTGGGCACGGATTGTATTTGGGTGCGCTCAATAGTCCAGAAATGACTGTAAATTAGGTCCGGTTAAGTAAATTAGGTCAGGACTGAGGAAGTCTTGGATTAAAGACAAAACGTTTCAAGAAGTTTTTTTTATTTTAAATCCGTCCAGAGGACCTGCCTTAACTTTGTTAGAAATATAAAAACCGTTTAACACGAGTTTCTGTATCATAAGCTGTAATATAACCTAATGATGTTTAGAATTTATCTTAAGACTATAAGTACACAGTATTACACCCAAAATATGTTTGTTGGCTATTACAACATTTCAATAATAAATCACTTTATCTGTCAGATATCACATACCATCATCAGCCAAGATATTTTGAGTATTCATTTTTTTTAAAGCACCACAAAGATCAATTGCATTTTAAACAAACTATTAAGTTTCCCTTCCTTATTTCTAAATTTTTTTAAAAGTAAAACACTAAATCATTTTCTGTTTTTCCTGTCTTAAGACATTCCTTTCTTTACTGCTGCATGTTTTTTTCATCAGTGAAGTTCGGGAAACAATTTTTTCTAGTGGTGAGATGATTATTTTGGTGTTTTGTGCTTTTTGTTCACTATTTGTGGTGAGGTAAATCATTGATATGGGATTTAAAGATGTTTTCATGTAAAACATAAATACAGAGTATCCTGATTCATGCTCAATAATCCAGGTAGAAAAGTCTAAAAAAGTTAAATCTTGTTTTTTGAATGTCCAGAGGACCAGATTTAACTTTTTTAGATAAATACAGAGTAAAGGTAAAACCATTGACTCACTGATTTCCAAATGCCTTCTGTATACATAAACAAAATTATTTGCACTTCCCGCATCACTCCATATAATGGATGAATGACAGGTCTGGTGTGGCTTTTTCCATGTCATATGACTGAGCAGTTACCAAGTGGGACAAAGTTCAACGGCCAGATATAGTAGTGCATCGACAGAGCATGTGCAGACGCCTCAGATGGGCATGAGAATATAAACACAGGATCCAGCCGACACTCAGCGTAGCTCGAGTGCCTTTCAGTCAAGTAATTTGCAATAGTTTTTGCTTTTATGCAGCATGTATAAAATCCTTTATTATTTTTTAATTGGTATGTGGTTGAAAATCCACATTAGAATTTCAAAAAGATTTGGTATAAACAAAACATTTATGCTTTTCTTTGCTTTACATATGTACATAAAACATGGGAGTTTACACAAGTACTAAAACACAATGCGAGTAGAAGAGACATACTTTACCTTTTTTCAGAGCAGAGTGTAAGGAGGTGTCTTTAATCTGAATGAGAGGCAGTACAAACTTTCCTTTTAGTCTTCTATGTTCTGTGTCCTTGAAGTGGCTTTACTCAGGTGAGCACACTCGTCGTCTCCTGTGCTTTCTACCTCCCTCCTCCTCCCTCCTCTCCTTCAGCTCTGCTCCCTCTCCTCTCTCTCTCATGACATACCTCATCTCTGTAACCAGACACCAAACATAGACAGAGCTTGAACTCATGCTGTGGGGTCTCTGCTACGCATCTGCTGCAGCGCTGGATGAAAACTCAGGGCCACCTGACATTTCACCTACTTTCCCACAACAGGATCACACATTTATTTACTACTGAACCCAAGGTTAGACATGGGAATATTAGATTTATTAAGTAAAGTTTGAGAAAGGAAGAAATGTTTACCATTCTAAGAAACCCAAAGCATCGCAGAATAGATTGTCAGGATGGGAATCACCTTGTTGGTGCTAAAATACCATTTCATGTCTATCAAACTTTATTCCATCCATCCATTATCTTTACCCATTTCTTCCTTTTCGGCTCGCGGGGTCACTGGTGACCATGTCTGTCAATGTGCAAGAGGCGAGGGACACCCTGGACAGGTGGCAAGTCCATCACAGGGACACATATAGAGACAAACAACCATTCACACTCTCACTCACACGTAGGGACAATTTAGAGTTACCAATCAGTAACATGCATGTTTTTGGTCTGAGGGAGGAAACCGGAGTTCTTGGAGAAAACCCACACATGCACGGAGAGAACATGCAAACTCCACCCAGAAAGGCCCCTGGTCGAGATTTGAACCAGGGCAACCTGTTCGCTGAGAGGCGGCAACTCCAAGTTACTGAGCCACCATGCTACCCTCAAACTTTATTATGTTGTGTATTTTGTACAGATTTAACAAAATAAATATGGAACAAATTATATGTTTTAAGACAGTGGGTAAAATGTCAAAAGATGGAAAATTAAATAGTTTTCGCATAAAAAATAAATAAATAAAAATAAAAAAAGAAACTGTCCAGATGACCTGACTGAAAAATGTTGGATTGTATACCTGAATTATTGAGCATGGACTTTGTTGTTTTCAACCAGTTTGACAAGACTGTCAACAAGGAAGAGGGCCGGCAATGGAGGAGGGGGCTTACCAAAGAGACCATCTTATCACAAGCAGAACTGGTTTGTTCCACTTTGGAGTAAGCTGTTGGGGGAAGAATCAGTTTTGTTGTGCGTTTCCTTGACTGATGAAGCCTTCTGGATCGAAGGCGAAATGTTTCAGCACAAAAAAAAAGAAACTGTCCAGATGACCTGACTGAAAAATGTTGGAGTTTTCTCATGTGTTGACACAACACTGGTTCATTACAAGAGTTTAGGAGTCTTTTTATGCATTAATGATTAATATGTCAGTAAGAGACCCAAACAAACTAAAATAGCTCTGAAAATGATCAGGCGCTGAACAGAAGTCTTTAAAAATCTACAAGAAAGTCGGTCTTTTTAAATTGTTTTAGAGAATCTGTAAGAAGAATGTACTAAAGATGGGACAGCCTCACATGCTAAACAAGCAACACACGTCATTTACATTAAATTTATATGGAGAATGTATTTGTGGACAGTTTTAAAGCATGTTTAACATAATTATCACAACAATTTCTTAAAATTTTTATGCTGTCCTTGTTTTCTGTTGTGCTTTTTTTTGGTAAACAACACCTATTAACAAGGAGGCTTAAAATATAAACTAAAACTATGCAATTTTTTTTACTGTGTACACATAAAGTACTTCAGCACACTGGACATCAGAGCGAACAACCAAAAATATTCCCTTAAGAATTTGAAATATACTATTAAGGCACTTGGGCACTAATTATCCCATATCTCTACAAGTTTAATAATTGTGTCAACATATAATTAAATACATTCACAAACATAACTGCCTAAGACAGACAGAGAGACTAACTGTAAAATTAGAAGTGAAGATAAAATATAGCCTCATAGTGAATGGAGACAGGTAACGGTGGAAATGCTGTGATGGAGAGAGTTTGGAGATCCATTAGGATGACACTGTTGTGTTCTATACTGGGCATCAGAAGCTGGTCACCAACAAGTGTCCCCTGCCCTGCAAATGCCACTTTCTCTGCCCCCCGTGCCTGGAGAAAAGCAGGGAACATTTGTCAAAAAATAAAAACATATAAAATGTACTGTTGTTCTATGAATACACAACTGATTGGTCTCCTGGTATGAATTAAAGTAATATTTGGATTCTTACTTGTCCCCATTTCTTTGACGTCACACAAAATGATGTCACCACACTTCCTGAATTGTTGCCACCAATCACGAGCAGCTTGTCAGAAGCCCCCAGGAAGTACAGAATAGGGAGGTCTGCATCTGCTCTGGTAAGGGTGGGAAGCAGTTCAGACCATGAGTCTATTGGGGACAAAGAAAAGATAGAAACAAACTTTTTCTTTATTGGTTATGAAACAGAATAGTTTACATTTTCTATGTGTGCAAACTGATGTGGAAGCAGCTGCAGTTCTGATTCTGTGCACCTTGCTTTGTGTTATACTGCAGCAGTAATTTTTCTCCTGTCCTCTGGATAGTCCCCAGCACATAAACACACTCTTCAAAGCTGGCAGCAAGAGGGACATCATGGGATAAGGACATGGTGAACTGGAAGTCGGTGAGTGGCAACGAGGACACAAACCTAAAGCAGACATTAAGGTATACAACTCAAAGATTGGGGAAAAATGTAAACATGTTTCAAGAATCACACAACTCAGTTAGCTGTTTTATATGGAGTCAAACCTCCATGTGTCCTCCCATGGATCATAGCGCTCCACAGCTGTGTAGAGAGCTGTGCTGGAGTCCGGAGTCACCAGTGAGTCCAAGTACCAGCCTCCCACAGCGTAAATACAGCCTGCACAGGCCACTGCACTGAAGTGCCTCCTGCGCTGTAGCAGATGGGAACAGTTGTCTTTAATATTACAGGAATGATGGAAAAACAAGACAAACGTTTCATTTTGGATAAAAGAATCAGACAGGTGATTAAATTAGAGGATTGGTGTACCTTTATCAGAGGTGATGTGGCAAGCCATGAATGAGTTAAAGGATTATATCTAAAGGAAGCCATGTTAAACTCCCAGCCTTTCTTCACACGCTGCCTGTAGCCGCCGATAACGTACAGGTAGTTGAAAAGCACCACCGTGGTACAACACCACTTATCAGCTCTAAAGGGAAGTTCTGTAAGAGGGTGCCAACCTCCTCCATCCTCCGGGTCTTTTGCTGTGAAAATGTGACGAGCACGTTCAGTTTCTGGGTCTTTCCAAGACGTTAGGTTCTCCTTCCTCAAGCTGCACAGATGTTGCTTTCCTTGTACCCTCAAGTTCACAACTTCCTCCTTCTCCTGATCATTCAGGGAACTGGTGTAGAAATCAGCTTTAGTGAAAAAAAATAAAATATATATTTTTAAATCACACACAGCATTGAAACTGTACGTACCTCATCGCATGTGGCAGCTCCAGCAGGTTTCTGCTCAGGTAAGTGAAAACAGTGTTCTTCAATTCGACACAGAAAATCTCCCGAGCAAGACTCAAGTAAGACAAACAGTTAGATGGACTGAGCTCATCCTCCAGTAATGAGAGGCACTTTGAGAGGAAGGCCTCAGCAAGGAGGTAGCTGCTCACCTTAGGATTCAAAACGAGAACAAAGTGTTTTATATATAAAGCAAAGCAAAGCAAATGTCCAAATGGAGCCAACATTATTTGCCCGGGAAACTTTATAATCCATTTGTATACCTGAATGTGTGCTCCCAGCTCTTCTAGGGGAACTTTAAAATCGTGACTGAACGAGAACTCAAGGAGATTGTGGAAAATAGAGGAGGACACGTGCTCCAGGTGAATGAACCTCTCGGTGGTCTCTTTCATTTCAGACTGGGACAAAGCTCGGAAGTACTCGCTGCACTCTGCAAGTGTTTGGAGGTCCACCTTTAAAATGGATTATTGCACTAGTTTGTGTTTAACCAGTGTGTTAGAGACTTTCATTCCATTATGTACTCACATAAAAGGTGTGTGTGGTGGTTTGGACTGTGACCTTGGCTCCGTTTCCATCTCCAAGGTGATATGTACGAAGAGCCTTGTTGGTTTTCCACTTCTCTGAGTCAGCTCGACGTGATTCTTTATGTGTAGACGATACACGGCTATGGAGGATTGGAGCAACACTGCACATTTTTTGAAGGCAGTGCTTTAACCAGATTATCCACTCAATCAATCCTATAAAAATCTGCCTTAGCAGGTTCATCTCTCTGACGGTGGTGTGGGAAACTGAAGTTTTGTTAATCTAAAGGTGCTACTTTGAATCTCAGGCGAATCTATTGAGAGTTTGACTTGCACTGTTATTTTTTTTTGTTAAGTGAGGTCATCATCACAAAAAAACTACAACCACTGACAGAGAAATGTTATCCACTTGACTCGATTTTTTTCCTCACTCACACTGACGTTCCCTACGAGAGAACCAAGTCCAAACAGCTGTGAAAGTTTTAAGTTTTCAAAGTTTGCCAAAGAAGCACAAGAACAGCGGGAAATATAAAATTATTAATATTTAACCTTTTTTATTCTTGGATCCAAAGTGACCCCAGAAAGTCCCTCGATCTTTGAGCAGTGTTTTCCTTGTCGGCTGGTCTATTCTTGGTTCCAGGAGGCGGGACAGGGGTGAGCCCTGTGGAGTAAAATGGTCCACACGCCGCTCTCTGCGTCATCACAGGCCACTCAAATTACTCTGACGGCCGCTGTAACGGAGTAACTTCACATAAAAGACATATCTAAAGACTTGAGTCTTTTGCACTGAATAAAGACAAAAACAAGCTTATGATGCAGATTCTCAGAATACAAATTTAATAGTTTTAGAATTATTTTAGTAGTGCAAAAAATATATATACAGAAACATTTACAGAATGATCTCACAATAGGAAAACTGTTTAAAAACTGTTAACAGTTTTACTCATGTTTTTAGGAGTAAACAGATGAATTTATGAGGACATGATTAACTTAATATTATCAATACATAATAAAACAATTACAGCTTTAAAGTTAGTCCAAATAAGCAAAATATTCCAAATGGAATTAAAACAAAATGTGTAGAAAATGTTAAAAGTGTACTTGACTACAGTAAAAATAAAAGGAGTTCCTCAACAAACATTTCAGTCATTGTTGGATCTCAGAGCTCAGTGTTGATCCAGACTGACACCCATTATTCTGGAGAAGACTAAAAGGCTAGAAGGTGTTTGGACTTTTCATGATTATTTGCAAAAATACACACAAAAACAGAATGACATATTGTGAGAGGAAGCAAATGTTGAGGCAGGTGGAACAGCAGAAATATAGCTGATAATGATAACGACAAGCTCAGATAATACAGATTCAACGAACTTAAACTTTTCACGTCAAAATTAACTAGAGTGATTCTGTAACAAATAGCCCTTGTTGTCATGTGCCGAGTCAGAATAAGTTAATTTACATTTGGAGAAGAACATTTTCAGTCATCTTCAGGGAATATACAACTAGCAGAACAAAAAATATGGAGTTGTTATGAAAAAAAAAGGAAGAACAGCATAAAATGCAAAGCTATTACAATCAACTGCTATGAAATACATCCTAATGTAGTTAATAACAAAAGAGAAGTGAGGTAGAATGACTAAAAACGCTAAAATGATGAGCTACAGAAAAGCCTCTCACTGAGGTCAGTAATGATCAATTGGTGCATCCAAATGATAAAAAAAATTACAGTCTGAAATGAAAAGATGTTCATTCTCTGACGAAGCAACGACCTCTGACCTCTGACATGCACAGAGAATACATTGAAATAAAAATGGTCAAAAAAAGAGGAAGTGCTTAAAAATGGTTTACAAAGTGAAATAACTAAAATCACAGCATGTTTATGAAAACACAAAGCAAGCCTGAAAACTGACAAAAACAATAGAACATTCCAGAGCTTTAGATTTACAGACATTACATATTTATATAATGTATCATCAGCTAAATATCAGCGAGCATAATATCTATATTGCAAAGAACTGCTTGGATTGCAATAAATTATTGTCCATTATATTAAAAAAATCCATCAATTCATGTTCTGCATGCTAATAATAGATCTGGTCGTTGTAATAGACTCTCACCTGGTCAGGATGATAGTGATGAGGAAAGAGAAGGTGTGAGGAGTTTATCACAATCAGTGCTGTCATTGCAAACATGGCCAGTTTTCATTTCATATGCTGCTCCAGTACATTCAGATGAACATGAAGGAATTCAAGAGTAGAGCTTTTTCTGCTTGAAGTAGGCATCAAAACGACACTGAGCATAGTCCTGCAACAAAACATGAAAACATAAATGTTGGTTTTCTCAAGAGTTCAAGTATAAGATGTTACTTTAGACTAAACCATTTCTCAAAAACCTTTAGAGAGGAAAAAAACCCCGGAAATAAATACAAATCACATACCATGTATCCAAACTCTATCTTCGATATCTTGGCTTGAATGATGGACCACAACCCCCAGAGGAAGTGCGATGCTAATGCATATCTACATTACATGATAAAAATAAAGGTTTAAGTGGCGGTATGGCAAAAACTTAGACAAACATTCACAGCCACTGTAAATTAGTTTAAATCTGGTTTACCTGTTTGCTTCAATAATCATGTTCTCCTCTATTTGTGTCTGGTCCACAGTACAGTCCGTGTTCCTCCTTTGTTCAGCCAAATAACTTCTTATAAAAAGAAGCTGGAAAGGACATCAAAATAATGTTAACAGATGGATCTAAAGTACAAGCTGTTGATGTGAGTGGTTTATGCACAGAATCTCAAAACTGAAACACCATTATTTTTTCACCACTAAATGGTGGTGCACAACAAGATCAGAGCATATCCTTTTATATGGGTTGACTAGAACTGTAAGCGCCGCAGCACATTCCTTCAAAAGTAACACTACAACAATTTAAAATCACTGCAGGAAGGTAAATGAAAACTGCAAACTATGTTTGTATATCACAAATTTTACATTTTGCAAAATATATTGCAGGATCACCATAAAATGCAACCATTTTATATATATATATATATATAAAACCTTTTCACTAAATGTGCAGTTCCAAAATAGTATATTTTTAAGTGAAAGTCCACACAGAAGTGGAGAATCGTCACCAACAGACTGACCTGCTGCTCTCTGGTTGGATAGCTTTCAGGCGTGGCTTTGTAAAACGGCCACTCGTTATACGTGTAATCGTACATCCACTCACAGAAATGGTTCCCAAAGTCAAAACCCCTACAAAGTAAAAAAAAAAAAAAAAAAAAAAAAAAGACATGGAGTTCATTAATGTGCTTTTATTGGTAAAACCAAAGCACCACTCACTCCAACATGACTCTATGACACAAAGCACATGTATTACCTGTAATTGTAACTGCTGTATTCAAAGTCTATAAGCATGAGTTTCTCTGTTGCGCTGCGCTCTTTGTCTTCCAGCATAAGGATGTTTCCTACAGCAACAAAACAGAGACGAAACCACCATTATACATGCAGCACAATCTAATGAGTGCAGCTGGTGTCAGGTTTAATCCAGAGGAGAGTTTGGTTGAACAAATAACATGCATGGTTGTCGTCTATTATATAACAAAATCTGAACAAGTTGACTAGTAAACAAATGCAGGCTCTGTTCTTTGATGTGTTTATTCTTATGGAATTTATTAAGTAAAGACTCCATGAACTACAAGACATTTTGCAGAACATTTTAGAATCTTGTAGGAGCTCTAATGTAACAGATTTATGTGCAGTCAAGTATTTATTCTATACTACACATATACTATCCTATACTAACCTATAAATGTAGTCACCAGCCAAAAGAATGTGGCTAATCAAAAACAAAACTTTTGCTTCTTAAGTGTAAATTTTGTTTTATTATTATTTTGTTTCCCCCTTTTGGCTGCTCTCTTTGTCAGGGGTCGAGTTAGAGAGAGGAATCACCCTTCCTGACACAACCACACGTCACCGAGCTACCACTGGTTTGGCACCGAGCTCACGGGTATGTCATCCAAGGTGCTGGGGAGCAGCTGGGCTTAAGGTCTTGTTCAGGAGGGCCAGGGGCCCTGAGCCCAGAAGAACCCTGAATGGGGCAAATGAGGGTGGAGATGGACGCTTCATTTTTCTCTCCCACATTTTTGTTGTCAGTCCATGGACTTGAATTGGCGACCCTCCGATTACAAGCGCACCTTCTCTAACCTGTACACCACCCCCTCCTTCTCAGATGAATGCAAGATGAATCTAAAAGCCACATCATACAAACCGGATTCCAAAAAAGTTGGGGCACTGAACAAATTGTGAATAAAAACTGAATGCAATGACGTGGAGGTGCCAACATCTAATATTTTATTCAGAATAGAACACAAATCACAGATCAAAAGTTTAAACTGAGAGCATGTATCATTTTAAGGGAAAAATCTGTTGTTTCCAAATTTCATGGCGTCAACAAATCCCAAAAAAGTTGTGACAAGTCCATTTTTACCACGGTGTGGCATCCCCCCTTCTTCTTACAACACTCAACAGACGTCTGGGGACAGAGGAGACCAGTTTCTCAAGTTTAGAAATAGGAATGCTCTCCCATTCATGTCTAATACAGGCCTCTAACTGTTCAATCGTCTTGGGCCTTCTTTGTCGCACCTTCCTCTTTATGATGCGCCAAATGTTCTCTATAGGTGAAAGATCTGGACTGCAGGCTGGCCATTTCAGTACCCGGATCCTTCTACGTAGCCATGATGTTGTGATTGCTGCAGAATGTGGTCTGGCATTATCATGTTGAAAAATGCAGGGTCTTCCCTGAAAGAGATGACGTCTAGATGGGAGCATATGTTGTTCTAGAACCTGAACATAGTTCTCTGCATTAATGGTGCCTTTCCAGACATGCAAGCTGCCCATGCCACAAGCGCTCATGCAACCCCATACCATCAGTGATGCAGGCTTCTGAACGGAGCGTTGATAACAACTTGGGCTATCCTTGTCCTCTCTGATCCAGATGACATGGCGTCCCAGTGTTCCATAAAGAACTTCAAATCGTGACTCATCTGACCACAGAACAGTCTTCCATTTTGCCACACTCCATTTTAAATGACCCCTGGCCCAGTGCAAACGTCTGAGCTTGTGGAGCTTGCTTAGAAAAGGCTTCCTCTTTGCACTGTAGAGTTTCAGCTGGCAACGGCAGATGGCACGGTGGATTGTGTTCACTGACAATGCTTTCTGAAAGTATTCCTGAGCCCGTTCTGTTATTTCCTTGACAGTGGCATTCCTGTTTGAGGTGCAGTGACGTTTAAGGGCCCGGAGATCACGAGCATCCAGTAGAGTTTTACGGCCTTGACCCTTACGCACAGCAATTGTTCCAGATTCTCTGAATCTTTTGATGATGTTATGCACGGTTGATGATGATAACTTAAAAGTCTTTGCTATTTTACGCTGGGTAACACCATTCTGGTATTGTTGCACTATCTTTCTGCGCAACAATGGTGGAATTGGTGATCCTCTTACCATCTTGGCTTCTGAGAGACACTGACACTCTGAGAAGCTCTTTTTATACCCAATCATGTTGTCAATTGACCAAATTAGTGTTAATTGGTCTTCCAGCTGTTCGTTATATGCTCAATTTCCTTTTTCCAGCCACTTATTGCTACTTGTCCCAACTTTTTTGGGATTTGTTGACACTGTGAAATTTTGAGTCAACATATTTTTCCTTTAAAATGTTACATTTACTCAGATTAAACTTTTGATCTGTCATCTATGTTATATTACGAATAAAATATTGACATTTGCCATCTCCACATCATTGCATTCAGTTTTTATTCACAATTTGTTTAGTGTCCCAACTTTTTTGGAATCCGGTTTGTACAACACGTTACAGTAAAGTGAAGTTGTAATGTAGCAAAACCTTTTTTCAGTTTGACTCTACTATGATATTTAAAACCAGAAGGAGCTATGAAGAGAGGTATTGTTTTCCTTTTATTTATTTGTTGATTCCTATAAATATTTGGGTATCTTGGTCGACTCACATCTCTCTTTTAAGCTCCATGTGGAAAACTTGGTAAAGAAACTGAAAGTCAAACTGGGTTTCTTTTTCAGAAACAAATCCTGTCTAACCCTGAATGCTAGAAAACGCCTTGTATCTGTGACTTTCCTTCCCTCAATTGATTATGGTGACATTATTTACATGAACGCTCCTACAAGAACCCTGCAGATGTTGGATGCTGTCTATCATGGTGCACTAAGATTCATAACTGGCTGTGATTATCGTACCCACCACTGCACCCTGTATTCACTGGTTAACTGGACATCATTAACTTCACGCCGACTCTCTCACTGGTATATTTTCATCTTTAAATCACTTCTTGGTCTGTTGCCTTCATACATCTCCTCCTACATGTCTCTGCGTGAGTGCAGCTACGGAGTGCGCTCTCAGGACATTATTACCTGCAGCGTTCCCTCAATGAGGACTGAACTAGGCAAAAGGACCTTCTCCTATTCCGCTCCTGTTTCCTGGAATATCTTACAAAAAGATTTGAAGCTCTCGACCTTGACCTCTCTAAGTGTCTTTAAGAATCTGTTGGACACCTGGCAGGGTCCAATGCTGACATGTTCCTGTTGTTAGTTTTCTACATTTGTATTGGAATCTAGCTGTTTTTTGTTTTGTTACCTTTTCCTTTTAGCCATCCTATTTGTAAAAAAAAAAAAAAAAAAACTGTAGTATGCTTTTTTATAACTGTTTATTGTTGTTGCTGTTGTCCATTGTTGTCATCTTTCTTTGTTGAAATCAGGTCTCTCTTGTAAATGAGTCCTTGAGGCTCAATGGGATTTACCTGTATAAATAAAGGTTGATTGATTTTATGATTCCACAGCTTTGTGCTTGGCCTGCACAGGAGCTGGACCGTCCATCACGATAGCGTGTAACATCAAACAGAGCATGAGCTCACAGCCTGATTTGTGCTGTTAGTTCTCTTGCAATTAAAAGACAAGAGGCCCTCAAGTCTCATTTATAGCATTAAACATTTTAAAAGTTCAGGTAAGTATAAGGCCATAATGTTCAGATGTATACTAGTTAACCCCTTTTTAGTTGGACAGTCTCATAAACACTGACTGAAAATGATATTTGCTTTAGTGACTGATTTTTACCAAACGGCTTAAACCTCTAGTAGAATAAAGAACACAGGCAGATCCACAAGTTCTAACATGTCTCAAGGATTAAAGAATGATGCTACTATGATGCATTCATGAATAACTTGACTCCAGGCTGTCTTTAAATCATATATCTTTCTCAAAGAAATGTCACAATACATCCAAAGTGTGGCTCAATCAGACTCAATTGTAACTGTAAGGATGCAAAAGCTCTGATGGAAGGGAGATCAAGTTTTACCTTCTTGGACATCATTGTGGCAAAACACCACCGGGGACGGAGTGGATGCCAGCAGGGCACTGGATGAAAAAGACCAAGATGTTAGTGTTGTACAAGCAGATAATGTTACACAGTTCAACGCAAACATAGAAAACTCATGAACAATAAATAATGATCTAAGAAAATATATTTTCAAAACAACACTGAAGCAATTATATGTATAGTATTTACATTTGTTCCTGAACAACTACTTTAAGACAACTATCAACATTTAAACAGGGCAGTTTTTCTATAGATTTATAATCTCCTCAGCTATTGAAAGTTCGCATTCACCATGTTATTTAAGTTCACTTTATATTCCGTGTTAGACACGTGAAAGCACTTAACACACCAACTACACAGAAGAAGAAACAGTTGCTGAAATTCACCCATTCATAATGACAGCTGTCTAATGCAGGGGGATTCCAGTACAGTGAACAGTTCATTAAATCTCCAGTTCAGAGAAACTGGTACATGCAGTATCTACAAGATAACATTTCTTTGTACAAAGATAAAAACACATAATGAACACGTGGTCTGATTCGGACTCTTGGCCTACCAGGATGTCGTGGAGTCATTGGGATAAAGGTCAACCACCAAGGCTGGAGACAAACAGCAACCCCCTACACCAACCGGCTTGTCTTATCACCAGGAATATATTCTACAGCCATAAAGCTACAAGATCTCATGTATATCACTTTAAAATAAAGCTTTGCATCCAAGGGGGACTTCAACTGACAAATAAGTTAATACATTTAAATGCTTACATATTGTATTAAAACTAACATAATTTTTTTGACCAATCAATTTTTTCTGGGGTTTTTATGTGTATTTGTTTAGTTTATTTTCATACTTATATCTATATTTAATTTTACAATGTATTTCTTGGATGTTTTTGAGGCAGTTGTAGTGCAGAGGTTAGAGAAGGTGGGTCCGGCTGTGATGGAAGGTCAACGGTTCAACTCCCCAGACTGACATCAAAATGTGGGTAGGAAAGGTGAAGCACCCACACCTGCACTTGTCCCACTCTGGGCCCTTGAGTCAGGCCCCCCTGCTCCACACAGAGGTGGTCTGTGGCTGTGTCAGAAAGATGAAAAAAATAATCTTCTTAAATATTTTTTATATTTTATGTTACTCGTTTTTCTTTCAGTTGCTCCTTTCTTAAGGAGTTGCCACTTTGAACACAATAATTACATAGTTTTGCTTTATTTGATCATTTTATTTGTGTCTTGTCATGTTATTTATTATAAACTATTGTTATAGATCTATTGGGCAGCACTTTGGCCAATGGCTGTTGTCTTTGTGCTATATAAATCTGATGTGAAAAGATTTGGACATTGTTTTGCACCCGACACACTTTCTGACACAACCTGGGCTCGAACCTGCACCCTCAGGATTACAAGGCCATGCCACTAATCACAGCATTACTGCAGTCCCATTTCTATACATTTATATTTGTATTTATGTCAGTATCATTGCTTTTATTTACATTTTCTCTTTTCCATTTTCCCCGTAATTTCCATGTCATAAAAAAATAATTAGGAAAAACAACAGTTCATTAGAGGAAACATTTAGAAAATCATTTAGTGTAGCTGTCAGACTGATATCACTTACCGATTGATTCAGTATAATTAAGGAACTTTAGCAGATACTTCAACATTTTATAGCATTAAATGATTGTGTTGGATTTATTGTATTTCCATTTGAAACTCAGTTGTTCTGTAGTCAAAACACATTCAAAGATTCATAACTAATGTAGAACTATATTGTATACCTTGAACCACCGTAATTACCGGACTATTGAGCACACCTGAATATAAGCCCCACTAAATTAAAAAAACAAAAAACTATTTTGTACATGTATAGGCTGCGCTTGTCTATAAGCCACAGGTATCCATGTATTAACATGAGATATTTACACAGAAATATTTTTTTAACTTTTAATTAAATGTTTGTTGGTTTTTTTTTTCTTTTCTTAATAGTGCCTGTAACACGGCTCGTTAACAATAAATAAATAAATACAATAGCCTACCAGAAAAAGTCACTGATTGCTTTCTTCAACTTCTTCCTGAGCACTAAAACCACTAAAGTCGTCATCTTCCGTGTCAGAATTGAACAGCCTCAGAAAAACGTCATCACACACGTCCTCAGTCTCTCTTTCGTTGTCAACGTTACTTTGGTGGTGGTGGAGGTGGAAACACCTCGGCTGTCTGCTTTCTGTGTGTTCCCCAGTCTTCAAGAATGTTTTCAAGTTTGGGCCATCTGCTTTTTACCTCTGAAAGCTTTTGTTGTCTTTTTGCATTGATTCAGTTCTTCATGCTGCCGTCTCCAACGTCCCACCATCGATTCATTGACGCCAATCTTATGTGAAGCAGCTCTATTTCCTTCTTCAACGGCCAGATCGATCACCTTTTACTTGAAAGCTGCATCATACGAATGTCTTCAGTGTTTTATGACGTGCATTTTTAGTTAACGTTTTTCTTAGTTCATATCTTGGATCTTATTCCTGTTTCTCTTTTACAGTTTATACTTTTGTTGGATGTAACTAGGACCATGTGTACACAATTTTGTTCCACCACATGTACCACAAGTGGTGCGTATGACAAATAAAGAACCTTGAATCCTTGAGTTTTCCATGACGAGGTTGTGTGCATGAAGCGCAAAATAACTGATCTGAAGAATTGAATGTGAGTGTGTGCATTTAATTAGTGGTAATTCAAAGTTTCATTGGTCCACTGTGACCTGTTGGGCAATGTCTTATTGAGCCACAAGGACCCATCCCCCAACAGAGGCGTGTATTGGGCAGCTATGTTAGCACCCGAGTGTGAAAAGGCTAAATGTTTTGACAGCATGAAGCTTGCTAGTTTGTCAAAAAATAAAAAATCCATGAATTAGCTGCAGCATTGTATAAGCTGCGCGGTTCAACGTCTCTGACAAAAGTAGCGGCTTATAGTCCAGAAATTACGGTATTACTAATCTGACAGTAGAATCATTTTTTGCTTCTTTAATTTATACAGTCACATAGATGGAAAGTTATTTCATCTTGCGGAGGAATAGATTGTACATCCCAATTGCAGTTACTGTGAAGTGTTTTACCCATGTCCAATGTTCCCTTGATGTGGGTGACGTGAAGACACACGACGCAATTTAATATTGAGAATAATTTGGTGTATTTTAACTGACAACTACGGGAGATTATGATGGAGAGTTAAGCCATTCTCCCTTTCAGCCCGTGTTAAGACCTCATGCATACCACTTTAATAGACACATTCAATACGTCTCATTTAAAATCTGCATTGCAACTTACCGAAGACTCCTCAGCTCAGCAGGTAAGTCGAGCTTCATCAGCTTCTTGTACTTCTTGACATGTGCGTCACGTACAAAATTAATCTTCAACACTTGATCCATGTATCTTTAAAACAAGACAAAGAGTATTTTAATGTGTATACCTGACTGTGACAATCATAAAGTGAGAGAGTGTTGTGCCCTTACTTATCAATGGTCTCAAACAGCCACTTCGGCTCTTTGTTGAAGGGCATAAGCATTTCATGGAAGCGCGCCAGTTTGACGGCAATCTCCGCTGAGATGGCAGGATCCGAGAGCTGATCTGTGCGCATTCGAGTATTCTAGGCAAAAATAAAGAGCATGAACTTTTATCAGTGAACCGTTTAGTGCTAGATAAAGTGCTATAAATGAAACATACTGGAAGATACTGCTCCAAGCGTCCCTGCGGAAAGATGCCATAAAGTTTTGGACCCAGACTTCGTTCTGCCAGAATGGCAAACATCACACTCTCCAGTACCAGAGAGTCCACACCCTGAGTCACAAAGAGAACAGCTGAAGAGAGACTGGTTTGTTTGTTTATATGGTATGACAGAACTGACAAGCAATTTTAGTCAACCATAACTTCTTGATGACTCGGACAAACCTGTAAGATGGCACCATAAACTCTCAGGAGCACCTGGCGAGGTTCCTCTCCCAAACACTGTACATGATCAGGCAAACTACACAGGTACAGTAGGTTACTCAGTCCACCACTGCAACACAAACACACCATGTCAGCAAAGTTTACACAACACAACCTGCTCATCAAGATGGACAAGAAAACCCCATTCAGTTTTGATAAATTCCTTTAAATTGACAGATCCACAAGGTTAGACAAAGACAAATGGATCAGAGTGTCACTACAACAAATTAGTTGTATCCATCTTATTATCTAATGTGCCTTGGGGCCTTAAATGTAAAATACTTTACATATTTTCGTGGATTTATCCATTTAATTACATTTGAAATACTCCCAGTCAGCTGCAACACCATGAATTAAGAAGTGTGCCTGGGAATAAGACAGAATCAAAAACGTTATATATGCACAGAGACATTAAAAGGTTGGGCACATCATCTCATTCAAAGAAAGGAGTACATATTCAGACGCTTGTGATCATTAGTACTTAATCCTAATAATCTCTATAGGTGTGCAGGCTTTGCAAAGATCCTCTCTTTAGTTTTCACTGTACCTGACATTTTTACCTGACTATGCTGATTTGAAAGTCTGGCTCTCGAAGAGTTCTCCACGATCCCGACAAAAAGTCTCTGCACCAGAAAAAGGCCCTGGTCCTTGTGTCCCGGTCGACCTCCTCGCTTCTCCCATTCCGAAAAGACTCCGCTTCCGAATCGTCATCGCAGGCAGCGCCGAGTAGCGGACTCGGGCTCTTTAGAGCTACGTTTCCGAAGCGTTTCTTCTCCGCCTGACGACGCGGTGTGTCTTCGGGAGAGAGAGCAGGGATGTCCGGGCCGTTATCAAGCCCCGGCCTTGGTTCGTCTGCTCTGCTACCATCCTTACCGCGACAGTTGCCGTGGGTTACATTTATGCGGGACTGCATCGTGAGTTTCCGGGCGAAGACTAGAGGAACACCGGAGGAAAATGTCTGTTCGAGGTGGTAGGACGGCCTGGGTGGGACACGCACTTCCCCAGTAAAGCTTCTTAACCGGAAGAGCGAAACATAGATGCTAGTTCTGAGCCGCATGGGAAGTGGTGGCCAGCTTTACGAATTATACATTCAAATGACTTTAATGTGTTGTACAATTTGCTAACGCGCAACTAGCAGTATCAGGAGTTGGCTCGAAGAGTCAACGTCCAATCACAATTCGAGTTCGATCTTTCCGATCATCTCATTGGTCGATGCGGTGTCAGTACGTAAACGTCAGATTTCTAAAGGTTTCTGGGAAGTGTAGTGTTTACTATATATTGAATTTTGAAAATAAAATAAACCCTCTTTGAAAGGGTTGATTTTTTTTGGTACACAATTACTTTTTTTTTACAGTAGTTATTCTTTCTAATTAGCATATTTTCAAGATCTCAGGAAACGTTTGTTCTTCTGTTTTAGATTTTGAAACTACAGTTATATTTTGAATTCAAGGATTCAAGGATTCCTTTATTTGTCATACACTCTAAATGTGGTGCATGTGTTGGGTCCCAGTTACATCCAACAAAAGTATTAAAATGTAAAAGAAAAACAGTAATAAGATCTAAGATATTAACTAAGAAAAATGTTAATTAAAAATACATTAAGCACTAATAGTACAAAAACAATAGGCTGAACAGCAGCACGAGCATGAGTCTGTGTGAGCAGATAAGTACGAATGAACACAGCAACATGAAATAAATCAGCAACAACATGATGTGATTTTTTTCCACAATGATTATTCTGGTTAGATAGTCTTACAGCCTCAGGGTAGAAGCTGTTCCTCAGTCTAGTGGTTCTACATTTAATGCTCCTTAACCTCCTTCCTGAACAGGGCAAAAAGTGTGTGTTCTGGGTAAATGAGGTCCTTCATGATGCAGGTGGCCCTCTTCCTGCATCTGGAGGTGTAGATGTCTGTGATGGTGGGGAGGCTGACTCCAACATCTTCTGTGCAGCCTTCACCACTCTCTGCAAAGCTTTTCTTTCTGCAGCTGTGCAGCCTCCATGCCACACGTTGATGCTGGAGCACAGGATGCTCTCCACTGTGCACCTGTAGAAGGAGGTGAGGACTGAGCTTCCCAGACCAGCTCGTCTCAGCAAAAACAAATTATTAGCTATCATTGATGGAACAATGAATTCTGAATTATATCAGAGAATTATAAAAGAAAATGTCAGGACATCTGTCCATGAACTGAATCTCAAGAGAGAAGGTGTCATGCAGCAAGACAACGACCCTAAACACACAAGTCGTTCTATCAAAGAATGGTTCAAGAAGAATAAAGTTCATGTTTTGGAATGGCCAAGTCAAAGTCCGGAACTTAATCCAATCCAAATGTTGTGGAAGGACCTGAATCGAGCAGTTAATGTGAGGAAACCACCAACATCCCAGAGTTGAAGCTGTTCTGTATGGAGGGAGGAAGGGGCTAAAATTCCTCCAAGCCAGTGTGCAGGACTGATCAACAGTTACTGGAAACATTTAGTTGCAGTTATTGCTGCACAGGGGATCACACCAGATACTGACAGCAAAGGTTCACATACTTTAGCCACTTTCAAGAATGTAATCCATCCATTATCTTTACCCGCTTATTCCATTTTGGGTCACGGGGGTCGCTGGTGCCCATGTCCAGCAATCACTGTACGAGGGGCGGGGTACACCCTGGACGGGTCGCAAGTCCATCACAGGGACACATAGAGACAAACAAGACAAACAACCGTTCACTCTCTCACTCACACCTAGGGACAATTTAGAGTTACCAATCAGCCTAACATGCATGTTTTTGGACTGTGGGAGGAAACCGGAGTACCCGGAGAAAACCCACGTATGCATGAAGAGAACATGCAAACTCCACCCAGAAAGGCCCCCGGACCGGGGTTTGAACCAAGGACCTGCTCGCTGAGAGGCAGCAGCTCTACCAGTTGCGCCACCGTGCTGCCTCAAGAATGTAATATTGGATCATTTTCCTCAATAAATAAATGACCAAGTGTAATATTTTTGTCTCATTTGTTTAACTGGGTTCTCTTTATCTACTTTTTGAATGTGTGTGAAAATCTGATGATGCTTTAGGTCACATTCATGCATAAATATATAAAAATATAAAGGCTTTACAAACCACACACACACACACACACCCAGGTTTGTTTTGCTATCTTTGTGGGGCCTTTGCATTGACTTCCATTCATTTTTCATTCATTTCTATAGCCTAACCATGACCTTTATCCATAACCTAACCATTACCAGTACATACCTAACCCTAAACCTAACACATCCTCAATTCACACCTTAGTCCTAAACCTAGCCCCTAACCCACCAACGGGACTTCTTCTTATGGGGCCCGGGCTTTGGGCCCCATAAGGAGAAGTTGGTCCCCACAATGTAGTATAAGTTGGAAAAATGGGCCTCACAAAGTAGCATAAACAAGGACACACACACACACACACACACACACATTTATCATAAGAAAGATTGTTCACTCATTAAAATAAATAAAAAAGTGCTTTTAACTGAAAAGCCCAACCTTAAGTGTTTTTTAATAACAAAAATATAATTTAATGCAGAAATATGTGATTTTATTGAAAGTACATAAACACGATCAGACCACACATAATAATTCAGCCAAAGAAGGATTTATTTGAAACTCAGTTGATTTTAGATACACATCAGGAACTTTGATGATTAGAATGGTCTAACGGACGATGCTAGAACTGGGTTGAGTGATGATAAGTTCCTTACTGCTGATCAAAGTGGACTCTTCTCTGAAGAGTTTCTTGGTAGAACCAGAAATCTCTCTCTCTGCACAAAGAACACGACAAGAGTAAGTCACGATGAGATAAATAGTTACAACCACACTGCTTAAACATCTATTCAAGTGAATAAATGCTCAGATAGTCACTATACTGATGCAACAAAAAAACTACTTACTTTTCCTGAAGCACTTTGGTTCACAGTTATCTGAAGCAGAAGGCTGGCATACAGAAGTATCGCAGTGTATATACACCTGATTTAGAAAATAACATATTTGCAGATGTGTTAACAAGGTGTGTTGAGCAGAATATATCAAACAATGCACTTCAAAACCAATTCATACTTGTTCTGTGAGAGGAATAAATGATTGATCTGAAGGAGCCGTCTTGGTGACATCAGCTGCATTCCCGCTAACAAAAGTGAACATCTTGAAAACAAATCTCCTGTAGTGGGTTGGGTATGTGACTCCAGATGAAGAATCCACAGGGATGAGTTTTGTTAGATAGTGATCGTCACGGTAGGGGCATCTGCACAAGAAAAGAGTTCATTAGGGTAAAAACTACATTATAAATGTGACATAAAAGTCTTCATGTCTACCAAAACTAGCTCTTACCCATTAATCAACAAATCCCACTGTGGGAGATTGCTTGGGTTGGGGCTGGTATTTGCCCAGCATCTTCCAAGAGTCAGGACAATGTTGGGATCAGTCCTCTCCAGAATGTGGACCTCAACATACACTGGGTCCCTGAGAACCTTTGTAACAGGGTAGTCAGTATCAGCATAATAGGAGGTGTAGGCCACTTGTTCTGTAAGAAACAAAAAAGTGTGGTTGGTGATACAGACACAGGCAAACATACAAAAAAACCATCTGTACAGACCATGTCTTTTACACTTACCTTCGACACAACCCTTGGTAGCACAAACTCCATTGCCAATCCTGAGTTCAACACGCAGAGGTCCAGGAGCTGCAACTCCTGGTGGTGGAGGAACCACACCAACCTCGATGACCAAAGCCTCAACAGCAGTAGCAGTGTATTTACACTGGAGATGCAGCCTAAGACAAGAAATAAGATAGATGATTTGAAACGGTCTTGAGTGCAGCTAACTGAACTTATTGGCTAACACTTGCAGTTAGTATTTTTTTGCTAAACCGAATAATCTTGTGTCTTCAAGAGATTGTCAACATGCTGTTACAGGTTCAGCTTGTGTAGTAAGCAATAATTTTTTGGACATTAAAACACATACTCAAAGTGACTGTCCCTGGTGATGGATCCATAAGGCCCAACTGCCACTTCGTATGAAGAAATCATACTGTTCTCATAACTTATAAACCCAGGCTCCTCCTACAAGATAAACGAAACATTTAATTCTGGCAAATTGAATACAAATCAAATTAAAGAGACACAATTCCCCCATTACCGTCATGACAGTGCCACAGTCAGTCACAGGGAACTGGTAGATGGCAAAAGCTGATGTAGTACCAACAGGACTGCAATGTGGACCACTTCCAAGTAAACTAATTGACTCTAAGTCAATGTAGGGTAGGGTGGCATCTCTGGCCACAACTAAAATGATTTGGGCATCCTTGGTGCACTGAAGAGTTACTGGAACAAACAAAGTAGAAAACAAGGTGCAAACTCAATACATTTTCATTTGTGAGTCTTTGAGCAAAACATTTTTCAAGATCTGGAAAATGTGAAAGAAAAATGGAAGCTTTTACCAAATTTTCCGTAATAGCACATGTGTCCATCAAAGCAGCAGTTTATGGCTTGACAATCTGTGGCAGTGATACTGGAAGCGCCACATTGTATTTTGTAGTTCTCTGGTACTTCACAAGTTTGAAATGAACTTGGAGGGAGCTGGGGATAATGAACATTTGGAGGATACTGAGGTGGAGTAGCTGGAGGATATGAAGGCTTCTGAGGATACTGGGGGAGCTCAGGTGGAGGAGGCAAAGGATATGAAGGCGTATGAGGATACTGAGGTGGAGGGGGCTGAGGAGGATACGAAGGCTTCTGAGGAGTTTGAGGAGGATTCTGGGGGGTCTGAGGATATGAAGGCTTCTGAGGATACTGAGGTGGATTCTGGGGGGTCTGAGGATATGAAGGCTTCTGAGGATACTGAGGAGGATTCTCAGGGTGCTGGGGATACGAAGGCTTCTGAGGATACTGAGGAGGATTCTGGGGGGGCTGAGGAGGATACGAAGGCTTCTGAGGATACTGAGGAGGATTCTGGGGGGGCTGAGGATACGAAGGCTTCTGAGGATACTGAGGAGGATTCTGTGGGGGCTGAGGATACGAAGGCTTCTGAGGATACTGAGGTGGATTCTGGGGGGGCTGAGGATATGAAGGCTTCTGAGGGTACTGAGGAGGATTCTGGGGGGGCTGAGGATACGAAGGCTTCTGAGGATACTGAGGTGGATTCTGGGGGGGCTGAGGATATGAAGGCTTTTGAGGAGCTTGAGGATACTGGGGGGGCTGAGCAGGTTGAGGATACAGGGGGGGCTGAGCAGGGGGCTGAGCAGGGGGCTGAGCAGGTTGTGGATACTGGGGGGGCAGAGCAGGGGGCTGAGCAGGGGGCTGAGCAGGTTGAGGATACTGAGGGGGCTGAGCAGGGGGCTGAGCAGGGGGCTGAGCAGGTTGAGGATACTGGGGGGGCTGAGCAGGGGGCTGAGCAGGGGGCTGAGCAGGTTGAGGATACGGGGGGGGCTGAGCAGGGGGCTGAGCAGGAGGATATTGGGGTGGCAGAGGATACGATGGCTTCTGAGGATATGAAGGTTTGCTCAACTGAGCAACAGCCAGGTTGCTGTGAAGAGCAACTGCCAAGAGACAACAATAAATCAGCTTCATTGTTGGGCCTCACAGCATAGAGTGATTTACAAAAAAAAAAAAACCACTAGATGCTGTGAAAGCTGTGGTGGAAATGGTCTGACTTTTATAAGGCGTAAGTCATGCTGACTTGTTGTCTCTCATCTGATTTGTTGCTCACAGCTGCCAATGAGAAGGCAGAATGGGGTGAAGAGATAAGCTGCACTGTCAAAAATATGAGCACTGAACAGAATACAGTGTCACATATATATACATTTTATTATAGGAATATAATTGTTATCACAATAAACATGCAAACATATAACAATATTCATAAACACTTCTTTTTAAAACCTTTACAATTGCATGAACTCTTTAATACGATTCTCAGTGAATCAGCTTATTCTTGTTTGAACAGAAAAAAAAATCTTCACAAGGTCTTTATGACCTAAACTAAGCACTCACGGTCAAACAGTAAATAAATAATTCTTATCTTTCATTTTGAAATAGATGTTTGGCAGATCATTTACATGTATTTAACAAGCCCTTTCAATATGCCTCAGTTTTGCTCAGTCTGCACATTCATGGCCAAAATAAGTTTTTAAATTACCTCAAATATTGTTTAGTTTTTATAACTAATATTACATTTAGGTCAATGCATCACCATTATTTTGTTTTTTTCATAGAACACCCCCCCCCCCCCCCACCCCCACCCACACACACACTCCACCACCACGTTGTCGTTTTACTAACAATCTAAGTGTGATTTGATGTAAATACAAATTAAAGACAAAAAGCTTGTTCTTCATCCATTATTTTCTGCTACACAAAGAAACTTGATTTTGTAAAATAATTCATTCATGCATAGTTGTTCCCTTATGATACAAATAAATACCTACTGTATGTTAAGTATCTAAATTAAATAAAAAATGGAAATAAAACATAGTGCTCAAAAGAAAGAGCAATTATCTGCCAATCAGAATTAGCAAATCCATTTTGGCTTCTCTCACCACATGCAGAATATCCTCGAGCAAGACACTAAGGTTGCCTCTAATCTGTATACTACTACTACTAACAACAACAACAACAACAACAACAACAACAACAACAACAACAACAACAACAACAACAACAACAATAATAATAATAATAATAATAATAATAATAATGGGGCAGCACGGTGGCACAACTGGTAGAGCTGCTGCCTCTCAGCGAGCAGGTCCTTGGTTCAAACCCCGGTCCAGGGGCCTTTCTGGGTGGAGTTTGCATGTTCTCTCCGTGCATGCGTGGATTGGGTGGGGGGGCAATTTGGGCATGAGGTGTGCTGCTCAGAGACACCACGAGTTGTGCAGTGACCGGTGATCGAGCCTGGGACTTTCGGGTCCCGAGCCGGCTGCCCTGCCTCTACACCATCTCGGGCTCCGTTATTTGTGAAGACAGACAACAACAAAAAACACGTTAATGAGAACAACATAAATACCAGGATGGTGAGTACAAAGAGTAAAGACAACAGCAGAGTGAGGAAACATTGTCAGTTTGTCCTCCAGCAGTCATACCTTTAGCAACATGTATGTATGTATGTATGTTTTATTCATCCATTTCATTTCATCCAAACAACAAATATAATACAATTTAAAGAAAAGAAAAAAGATATACAATCACCGAAATAAAATGAAAGGCAGCAGAAGAAGAATGAATTCTTATAATATCTGCCCCTTGTCCCCAAAATATATTCCAAACAAAATTACTATACAAAAGCAAGATGAATTTATAAAAAAAATAAAAAAGTAAAAAATAATAAAAAAAAACTTAGTTAAAATATAAGATCAACTGTAAACAATTTTTATGAACTCACATTATACTTAATATTTTTTTTAAAAACAAATTTTTATCATCCTCTTGAATATGTACATAGTTTTGGCATTTTTAATATCAACCTCCAGATCATTCCACAATCTAATACCCTGAGATATAGTGGATCGCATCTTCAGACTGGTGCGACACCACGGCTTCACAAACATCTCCATCCCCTTAAGATAATAATTACTTTCTCTTTTAACAAATTTCCCTTGAATGTTAGTAGGTAGTATGTTTTTGTTGGCTCCATACATAAACAGTAAGATATTGTAATCAACCAAGTCATAAAATTTTAATATCTTTAGCTGATGAAACAATATATTTGACGGATGGTTATAATCTTTTCTGGTAATAATTCTTATGGCTCTTTTCTGTAAAATAAAAATTGGACATAACTAACTAAGGAATAGCTCAGGAAACCCAAGCTGAACCCAAATATAGGATTGACCAAAAAGGCAAGTCTTAAAAAGTAGACAAAGTTTCACATATAAAACTGGAATTTAGTTCCACAAAGAGAGGAGACTGATAACCGAAAGCTCTGTCTCCCATTCTACTTTTAGAAACTCTAGGAACCACAAGTAAACCTGAAGTCCTGTTTGGAGAATATGGAATAATAAGATCTTTAATATAAAATATGGAGTTTGGTAGAAGCTAAAACATGGGAAATAGCATCTCTCTTTGTAACTCTCATTTGAACTCTAGCAGCAGCATTTTGGATCAACTGAAGACTTTCTAAAGAGTTTTTGGACAGTCAGATGATAAAGAATTACGATAGAAGTGACAAATGCATGGGCCAGTTTTTCTGCATAACTTTGTGACAAGATGTTTCCAGTTGTAGTGATATTGTGCAGGTGGAGGAAACAATCAAAAATAACAGAGTTTATTTTTACATTAGAACTGATGCCAAATTAATGTCATCCAGAGGAAGTAAAAGTGTGCAAAGTTTGTTTTTAAGACACTCAAGGTCCAAAAAGCACATCCACTAAAAGAATTAAAATTTTACAACTGTTGCAAAGTATGTCTCAAAGTCAGCCAACCTAATCACAGGCACGTGTTCCTTCTTTTTTATTTTGTAAATCATTTTTCTTATGTTTTTATAATTTAAAGCTAAGCTACTTCTGTAATGTCAGGATAAGTGGATTTGTTCATAAAGTTTGCCCTGATATATTTGCAAAACAGATGCCTCAACCTGTTCCCTCCAAGGTGAAACAAAGAGGGAGATATAATATGCCACACTATATGTAATGAATATTGTTTAAAAACACACTCTATGATGCATAAATGCAAATATGCCTGTGTACAACCTGTACTAAAGCATTTAATTTAGATTTTAAGGAAAAAGAAAAGGCAACATGTGAACCACAGCTCATTTAAACATTTAAGGTACCAAATGCTGGTTTAGCTCTGAATGGTTATCTGTATACTGAACATATTTTTTATGTATGTTTGTAATAATCTGAAAAAAAAATCAGTCAGGGGACAGAACTGAAAATAGTTTTGTGAAAAGCACAAAAAGAAACAAGGCATTATTTAATCAATTGTACTAGTTGAAATACTGCTAGGGTTTCTCCTTCTACCAGAATGAACCAGCATTTAAAACCAGTAAAATATACATTTTAATAAGCACTAAATGGAATCTAGGCTTTTTATGTTTAACTGTTTTCTGCTCTTAGGACCATCATGTGTTCAGGTACTCTGGGTTACTTTAACTCAGCACATGTGAAAAGGACACTTTTCATGCTTGTTATTAGTCGGGACCATATTGATTCAACCTCACAGAATTTACTTTGGCAGCATCTATTTCTTTCTGGGGCAGGAAAACCTAACCCAGGGTCAGCGTAACTTTTTGTGACCTACAGTGTTTTCAGATTAATCTGCCAACTATTAGTACATTTTCATGATCAGTTTGGATAAAATGTGCTGGAAGAAAGCACCCTTGAAGTAAATGTGTTTAATTTAGTGTCAAAGATGTTCATAATTCAGTTTAATGGGTTGTTGTGTTTATTTGAGAACTGTAATTATTTAATTGACTGAAGTTTTGCCTCATTGGTCATGATGTCGGTGAATGGTCAGTTTAAGGGGTGGGATTGTAACATGAGTAAACAAGTCCAATGTATTATAAAAGCAGGTGCACACTTCCCCATTTCCTACAGCACCCAGTGAACTTTTCAGATCACTCGTGGTTGTGAAGCCATAATGATGAAGTTGGCTGCTGTTTGCATTGTGGTGCTGGCCTTGATTGGCAGCTTATGTGATGCCCAGACCTATCCTTCAAAATACCCTCCAGTCCCTTCATACCCTCAAAAGCCTCAAGAGCCCGAACAGCAAAAGCAAGTATTTGAACCACCACTCACCTGGAAATATCCTGAAGCGCCCCAGCCTGAAGTCAAGCCCACTGTGCCATTCGAACAGAGATACCCTGTTGCTGCTGCAACTGTTGCTGTTCAGTGTCAAGAGAGTTATGCTCACGTGGAAGTCAAGAAGGACATGTTCGGCACTGGCCAGATCATCAGTCCAGCTGACCTCACCCTAGGTGACTGTGCCCCCGTATCCGAGGATACCACTGCTCAAGTGTTGATTTATCAAGCTGCATTGCAAGACTGTGGGAGTGTGTTGTCGGTAAGAACAAAGTAAAACACCACTGAGTGGAAAAAAAGAAGCATTATAAGAAATAACACACAAGCCTTGGAATATGTGCTCATGTATGAACTGCAACGTTTTCATTTATGTCTAGATGACAGATGACTCTCTCGTCTACACCTATACTTTGAACTACAACCCAAAACCGATGGGGAGTGCTCCTGTTGTGAGGACCAGCCAAGCTGCAGTAATTGTGGAGTGCCACTACCCAAGGTGTGTAAAGAAACACAGTTACAGCATGATGGAACCAGCAGCTTTAGGCTTAAGTACACCAAATATTTATATGTTAAATTTGTTTTCTGATAAAATGTACATTGTTCAAAGAAGTGTCTGGATTCTTTATCCTAATGGAAACATGTTCTTTTGCTTAGAAACCAGAATGTGAGCAGTCTTGGCATTATTCCCCACTGGGTGCCATTCTCTCAAGTGAAGATGGCCGAGGAGTTCTTGTACTTCACTCTGACACTTATGACTGGTGAGAACAAATTGACTAATTAAACATTTAGATTTTGTTTTGTACAGCTCTAATACAAATCAAAACTACTGACATTATTGGGGGGAACTCATAAAGTGTAGAAATTTCTGGAATGGCACAGCATCAATTCATTCAACCTTTATTTATACAGACTAGCCTCATTGAGCCACGGGGACTCATTTACAATAGGGACCGGTAATTATAATGATAATATATTATTAATATTAATTATTAATATATAATAATAACAATAATAACTATAATGTAATATTAATGATAGCTTGTTGCAGTTTTTAACATCTGTTGAGATGAGCAACCCAAATACAATCAAGCAGGAGGCAGGTCCAGGACCTCAGGAAAACACTTTAGTAACTACACTAAGGCAGGAAACCAGCAACAAACAAAAAAAATCAGGGAGGAACATGGAGGTAAACGGATGATCTGACATAGAACTGAAGAAAACTGTGGATGTTCTGGGTTGACAACATATGTGCTGATTACTAATGCTTTCCAGGTGGTGTGAGAGAAACTGGAAACAATGGACTTCTATTGGTATGATCATAAAAATCATAACAGAAGTCAACTGAACAGTCCAAACTGCCAAAACTCTTATAAAATCCCAAACATCAACACAAAACTAAAGACAAAGACCCATAGCAGGACATTAGTTGTAATATTTGTCTATTTCATCCACCAAGGATATAAACATGTTAATTTGGTAGCTTCCTCTGTGTCTTCAGCACACAGCTGTTGACAGGGTGCAGACACAGCACCATGCTGTGTTTACCATGATCTCTGGAGATAATACCAGTGCCTCTCCATCTGCAAAACTTCAGGTTTTTCATCAATTTGTAAAGTTTTTGGTTTCACTTTTTTTTCCCCCTCTCAAAAATTTAAAATAAAACAAAAATAATTGTGCTTTACGTACTGGTTAAATTGGGTTCCGTTCATGTTACTTAATTAAGATGTTGCGTTTCATCGTGCAGATGACTGGCTGTACGAGAGACCAAGTCACCAGTACTTCCTTGGAGACCTGATACGCATAGAGGCTACCGTCAAGCAGTACTTCCACATACCCCTGCGTGTTTACATAGACAGATGTATAGCTTCTATTACAACTGACGTAACCTCCACCCCCAACTACGCCTTCATCGACAACCACGGGTAAAGTTGGCAATCAAGTTCACAGAAAAGTGTTGGTGCTTTTTTTTTTTTTTTTAAACTTCTTTCTTTCTTTCTTTTTTCACTTTTATTTTATTTTATTTTTTGCAAAAAATGAAAATGTGTATGACCAGCCCATAACTCGTTTGGTTTATCTTATCTGCGTGAAGGTGTTTGGTTGATGCCAGAATCACAGGCTCCCAGTCAAAGTACATGGCTCGCACTGCAGAGAACGTGCTTCAGTTCCAGCTGGAGGCCTTCAGGTTCCAGGGTGCTACTAGTGGCGTGGTAAGCATCATCAAAACAATCCCAACTTTAACCACGTTGTCCGTCTTTGATAATGACAATAACCCAACCCCTATGGTTTAAACAGATTTACATTACCTGCTACTTACTAGCCACATCTACATCTCAGGCCATTGATGATGACCACAGAGCTTGTTCTTATACTAGCGGGTGAGATTATGTGTTTATTTGTACGCAAACAGTAACGATTACAGAGCTGGAAAACTATTTACATCTATCATTTCCATTTGTAGATGGAGAGAGGTCAGTGGAGCTGATGCAGCTTGCGCCTCTTGTGAGTCTAGCAATTTTGTGGTTTATACCATCCCACCAGTTGCAGCTGGTACCTCAACTGTCGTTGGTCCAGGAGCAACAACTTTACCAGCTCCTGCACCAGCTCCTGCACCAGCTCCTGCACCAGCTCCTGCAGCTCCTGGGAAACCAGCATACCCTCTTTATCCTTCTTATCCTAACACAAGGAAAATTCGTCATGCGTACCAACCTGAATGTATGTCCCATAAAAGTATTTTTTTCTTCATGATATATTTTATAGTCAAAGAATTGCAACATATGTGTACTATTTACAACACCCCGCTTTACAGCCTGCTGTCCTTTTCTTTCCTCAGTTCCAGAATGGGAAGGTCAAGTCATTCTGGGTCCCATTCCCATTGGGGAGAAGAAGCACTAAAGGACGATGGTTTAACATAATATTCTGCTATTACCATGATCATCAAAATAAATCATATCATTGGTTCATATCTGTGTGTATGTCATGCCCTATCCTCTTATTTGTTCTTCTAAGTATGAAGTAAAAAGTTGATCAAAGTCCAAAATCTCACAAACCCAATGAAGCTGGGAAAGCCAGAGAGCTCTTTTAGAGCAAAGAGGGACTCAGTTTGTATAAACATGCAGAACTCATCTGTCCAGATAAAATACTGTAACTGTTTCCATTTCAAAGAAATAAAGTCCAGTTGATTAAAAAGCATAGTGTCTTTCAGTGCAAGTGCCTTTTTACGATTCCTTCTACAGTTCTACACTCAAATTATTGTTAATGAAAAAAGGGATGTAAAGTGCAGACATATTTACTGCTAGAAATATGATGAATAGACACCACATCAAATTCACGTTTAAAAAACAATGAAGTTCTAAAAAAATAATTAGAATCTCTTAAGGCGTAATTTGGTATATTTATGGATTAACTCAGTCAATTGTACTATAGAGGCAGTCCGGATCAAAAAATGAAGGCAATTTACCGTGGTGCTTGACAGTTTGTGGAACATTTATATTTTTTATATTTCTGCATGAATATGACCTAAAACATCATCAGATTTTCACACAAGTCCTAAAAGTAGATAAAGAGAACCCATTTAAACAAATGAGACAAAAATATTTTACTTGGACATTATTTTTGTGTGGAAAATGATCCAATATTAAATATTTGTTAGTGGTAAATGTATGTGAACCTCTAGGATTAGCTGTTAATTTGAAGGTGAAATTAGAGTCAGGTGTTTTCTTGTTTTTAGTATTTCACCCTGTTTTATGGCACCCTGATTTATTGTTTTACACACTACTCTTATTTTAACTCCATTTTTACTGTAGTTTATTGTTGCCATACTGTTATTGTTGTCTGTACTTTATATGTTCTGTCTGCAACAGGTCTCTCTTGTAAATGAGTCCATGTGGCTCAGTGAGGCTTGCCTGTATAAATAAAGGTTGAATGAAAAAAGTTTTCAATCAATGCGATGATGATCAGGTGTGAGTGGGCACCCTGTTTGATTTAAAGAACAGGGATCTATAAAAACATCTCTAAAGCGTTTGGACTCCACCAATCCACAGTCACACAGATTGTGTACAAATGGAGGAAATTTAAGTCCATTGTTACCCTCCCCAGAGTGGTGGACCAACAAAGATCACTCAAGGCGTGGAACAGTCGGCGAGGTCACAAAGGAGCCCAGGGTAACTTCTAAGCAGCTGAAGGTCTCTCACATTAATGTTAATGTTCATGAGTCCACCATCACTGAGCAACAATGGTGTGCATGGCGGGGTTGAAGGAGAAAGACACTGCTCTCCAAAAAGAACATGGCTGCTCGTCTGCAGTTTGCTAAAGATCACGTGGACAAACCAGAAGACTGTTGACGAATGTTTTGTGGACGGATGAGACAAAAATAGAGATACTGACCTTTGCTTTCAGCCAGATACTGAAAAAAATGTTCACAAACTTTTGCCACTCAGAAATATGTACAGTAATATTGGATCAGTTTCCTTAATAAATAAATTACCAAGTATGATTTTTTTTTGTCTCATCTGTTTAACTTGGTTCTTTTTATCTACTTTTAGGACTTTTGTGAAACTTTTATGATGTTTTAGGTCATATTTATGCAGAAATATAGAAAATTATAAAGGGTTCACAAACGTTCAAGTGCAACTATATGCATATATATATATATATATATATATATATATATATATATATATATATAAAAAAGAGATTTAAGTTTTGTTCATTCATTCAACCTTTATTTATACAGGTTAATCCCAGTAAGTCTTGGGGACTCATTTACAAGAGAGACCTGATTTTAACAGAGAATGACAACAACGACAACCATAAAGGATGCGTACAAATTGAGGAAAAAAAATAAAAAAATAAAAAAAAAAAATATATATATATATATATATATATATATATTATAACAAGTGAAAATAAAATGGTATTTAAAATAAAATGTAACCAAAGTAACAGCTAGGTTGTAAAGCAGTGTAGAAAACTAAAAACAGGAACATGTCTGCATTGGGGCAGCACGGTGGTGCAACTGGTAGAGCTGCTGCCTCTCAGTGAGCAGGTCCCTGGTTCAAACCCCGGTCCAGGGGCCTTTCTGTGTGGAGTTTGCATGTTTTCTCCGTGCATGCGTGGGTTTTCTCCAGTTTCCTCCCACAGATCAAAAACATGCATGTTAGGCTGATTGGTAACTCTAAATTGTCCCTAGGTGTGAGCGAGAGAGTGAATGGTTGTTTGTCTCATTTGTCTCTATGTGGCCAAGTGATGAACTGGAGACCTGTCCACGGTGTACCCCGCCCCTCGCACAGTGATTGCTGGACATGGACACCGGCGACCCCCGTGACCCAAAATGGAATAAGCGGGTAAAGATAATGGATGGATGGATGGATGTCTGCGTTGGTTTTTCCCATGAACTTAACATATGTTTGAAGCCAAGGTCAAGAGCTTCAGATCTTTTTGCAAGATATTCCAGGAAACAGGAGCGGAGTAGGAGAAGGCCTTTTTGCCAAGTTCAGTTCTCACCCAGGGAACAGTTTAGTTTAGTTTAAGCATTAATAAACAATCAAGAAAAATGTTAAATGAACATAATGAAAAAAAAAATGAGGAAAATGCTAAATTCACAAGACAAAATTATAAATAGAAATGATGCCCTGTATACAGCTAAAACCTACATTTTAAATATTAAAAATGTATAAAATTAAAAACTACAACATTGAAACTTTATCTCAAAATTAATAAATCAAAAAGAAAGAAAGAAAGAAACCAAGCAAGCAACAAACAAACAAACAAACAAATAAACCAACGCTAACTTAAAAAAAAACTTTTGATTGAAAAATTGAACATACAGAACAAAGGAACACAAGCACAAAATAACAAATGACAATCTCAAATTACAGTGATACATATAAACATGTAAAATATCTTATGTCGTACCTCCCAAGGTCAACACATGCTTAAACAAATTAATATATTAACCATCATAAATTAACATTTATGTAATATTATTGTCAGATAATTAGCAAATATGATCCAAGTAAAATAAAAAAACCACATAACTATTTATCTAACATTCTACATAATTACTAAAATAATTTGTCAGAGGGTTATATTATCTGAGTGAGGTGATCAGAGCTTTTTTGCTTGTGGTTTTTTAGCACGGTCTAATGAAAGTTTTAACATCTGGAGTTCTTGTATGAAAACAGACCATAACCTTGGACTTGCCATATCTGCATTTATGTATATAGAATTTTAAGATTACGATAATGTTATTAACAAAGTATTCTTTTTTTTTTTCAGATACATATCATATAAGACATTCTGAGGGGAGAAGGAGTCTATAGATTTTATGGTCAGAAGATCATGAAGGGATTTCCATAACGTGTTCACAGAATGACAGAAATAAAACAGATGTTCTGTTGTTTCAGGTTCATTACATATAGAACAGTTATCACATTCAACTTTAAATCTATTTCTGATAAACTCGTCTGAAGGATAAATATTATTTAGAGTTTTAAAATGGAATTCTTTAGGTGGAAGAGGGAAACCCAGATATTTTGTCATTATTTTTATTCATTCCTTCTTATCGTAGAAATTGTAAAACTTCCTTCTTACCAGACCAGTATGTATTGTTTTTATTAAATGTTGTCTTAATTTTTTTTTTTACATTTTTTGTGTATTAAATTAAGTCCATTGAGATTGATGCTCGGTAAATGTTGGTTTAGTTTCATAATTCTTCTTTATTAACTGAACAAATGCAATTTTTTTTTTTTTATTACTTTGTCATATTCTTTAAACCAACACTAACTAACTTATCGAAATAATTTACTTTTGCCAGGTAGCTTTCCTCAATGATTGGGTATTTACTGCCCCCGTGTGGTTTAACTGGTTTACTGCAGCTCAGGAAGTTTTCGCAACAAAAGCTGTGAGCAGCTCAAACTTTGTTGTCTGACTTCAAATCAGTGAATTTTACAGATAAATGTTTCTGTAACTTGAACCTCTGACCATTTTCAATCCATGTTGACAAAACTGGCTAATGTTTTATCTGAATTTCAAGAAGTTTTCTGATAAAATGTTCAAGTCAAGGGTAATAACCTAAGAGAACGTATTTGTTTGTAAAACTTCCATGTTAAGATCTAGCTCCAAGACTTTGGACAAACTTTTTAGTTTATTGTGATTTTAACCATAATTTGCTACTTTAAAAGGTGCAAATAAACAGGATGAGTTAAAAAAGCAAAGCAAAACAAACAAACAAAAAAACAAGGAGTATGTAATCTGATTTATTTTCTTTTGTTTTTGACAAATGGATCATGGCACTTACAGTATGTATGTTATTCTTTAGTATGTTGTTTACTGTGTTGCACTGAAAATAAGATCCATTTATAATTAGATTATATATTTAGATATCACTTGCCTTTTTAGGTTTTTTTTTTTTTGTGGGTCTTGGTTGATTTCTTGTCTTCCTATATCCCCGTTGACCCTATTTTAGATAACCTGTTTTTAAAAGTAGAGATCTTCTTTAGCATTTCCACCTTAAAGATGTGACAACAACAACAAATAAACAAACATTAAAAATGGTTTTGGTATTTTTGCTGTAGACAGGACAGAGTAAGAGTTCAAGAAACAATGACATATCTGTCTGTTTCACAAACTCCTAATGGATTTTAGGTTCAAGTTCAATCTGGTTTATTGTCGCAGCAGCCCGAACATGAGTCTTTGGTGAGCAGATGGGCATGAATGAACACAGCAGCATGAGATCAGCAGTGTGAGATCAGCAGCACGTGTAAGTCATAATAATCAGCAGCACAGATACAATTTTCAGGTTAAAACCAAAACAACGATAAAGCCATTTTACTGGCTCATTACCTCATGTCTTGTTTATCTTCTCATCATTCAAAAACATGTGTTGGCCTACAGGCCCAGACCTCCATTGCAAAAGACATCTAATGTCAATGGGATTTGCCTAGTTAAATAAAGATTAATAAAAATAAAAAAAATAGTTTCCTTGTGTTAAAATTTCAAAAAGACAGAGAGGAAGTTGTAAATTATATTATTGGAAAAAAAAAAGAAGAAAACAATGTAAAATCTAAAGCTGAGCAATATCTTCTGTTTAGATAGTTGATCTGTGTTGCCACCTAGTGGTTGAAAAGGGGTATTTCAGCATTTTATTTTTCAACAAAGACTGTAAACAAAGACATTTTCTTTTACTATCTGGAGTATTTTAGTGTATACAGAGCCTACACCACCTTCTCTAGTGTTGAATGATCACCTGCCATCAAAAGGCAGATTAAAATAGTAGCTAAAAGGTAAATTAGCAAACTGTCAAAATTGAGCAAAACAATAGGTAAAAGCCTAAATGTGGCAAAAAAGTTGCCAAATACTATTTGCTAACAACATCTAAATTGTAGCTAAAACCTATAGCAAAACAGTAGCTAAAAGCTAGCAAAATTGCATTGAAATGAGCAAAACTGTAGCTAAAAGGAATAAAGTCTCAAAACATTAATATCCAAATGTAGAAAAGCTGTAGCTATGCTTAATTAGCACATTAGTGGCCAAGCCACCAAATTAGCAAAAGTTTAGCTAAAAGCTAAATATAGTAAGACAGAAGGTATGAGATCTCATTGTATTCCAATGGGGAAAACTTTAATAAATCATCTTTCTTCAGCTGTTCCCTCCTAAGGGGTCTCCACATGAGCCATCTTCCTCCATCTCACTATCCTCTGCATCCTCATGCATTTTGGGACCTGTACAAAATTTTGTTCCACCTTCCACATGCGATGCAAATGACAATAAAGAACCTTGACCTTAACCTCGATCCTCTGTCCTCCAGCTATCTCCATGTCCTCTCTGCATCCATATTGTCCCTTCTCTGGACATGTCCAAACAGTCTGGCCTCTCTTATCTCCCAGTTGTTCAACCTGTGCTGTGCTTCAGACGATCTTGTTAATTAATTCAAAAAGTATAACAGTAACATTTACTAAAAGTCATAGCACCCTGCTGTCGAGCCAGTCATTTTGATATAATATATTTATTTATGTTTTTAAATAGCACACAGTTAGACTTTTTCCATAAGTACATTTATATGCTTGCATGTGAAACTTGTCTGTTTGTCTCTTCGTGCATGAGGACCGCCTGCTCACGCAGCATCATCAGCACTGACGTCTCTCCTCCTCCTCCTCCTCCTCCTGTCTCCGCACTGCTGGCCAGCTGCTGCTGCTGCTGCTGGGTACCACAGGCAGCATCATCGGCAGCAGACATTGACCAAAATAACACCCCGGGGGAAAGTGTGGACGCATCCGTCGCGGGGGATTTTCGCAGTTTGTTCCCGGCTCTGCGGATGGGTTCCCTGCAGATCTGATGGTGCTGAGCAGACTCGTCTGAAGGCTTCCGGCCAGGCGGACATTCGCGAGGCCGCAGAGAGAAAGAGAGAGAGAGAGAGAGCGAGAGAGAGTGAGACGCACCACCGAGCGTCCAGGACTGCGTCCGTCCTCCGTCCGTTCATGGACTGCGCTCTGTGATCTTTCTGTCTCTCTGAGTGCTTTATAGTAGAAGATGGCGGACAGGGCTGAGATGTTCTCTCTATCCACCTTCCATTCCCTCTCCCCGCCTGGCTGCAGGTAAGGATGCATGGAGAGTGGCGGGGAGGTGGATGATGGCGGAGGATGCGCACTGCTGAGGAGAGGGAGGGAAGGGAAGAACATGAAGCAAAGGCGCGACAGACAGCATCGCTCATAGATTTGTATAAATGGCTGCAATAAAAAACACTTCATCCTCAGCCCTGCAGGCTGAATGTGAATAATCCACCGTGAGGCCTGCTGGTGCCGCTGCGCGCGCGCCTCCAGGCTGGGATGCAGCTTTTTAACGGCGCTGCTGTGATGACACGATGGCGACCGTCTGTTTTATTAATATTTTCTGAAAGCTATGAAGCAAGACATCGACTCAAACGATGATGGGGAAGTGTCCCGACACACAAGCTGTTTGCGCATTCTCCGTGTGAGGCCCACGCCCAGATGAGTGCAGCCCAGGGCACGGTGCTGAACAATGATTCAGGAAGTCCCCCCGAAGCTGATGCTGTTTAAATGCGTTGTCTGAGCACAACACAGGGCAGGAGTCCACCTGCACTGTCTGCAGAATCACTGAGACAGCTGTGGGGTTGTTGTTGTTTGCTTTAAATTCAATATATTGGCCTCCCATCAACAAAAACAAGCAGGTTGGAGTTATATTGTCACACTGTATTAACTTGGTGCAACTAGTTACATGACTTTAATGTGAAGATTTGTGCAATGAAAGATAAAAAGCTTTAGAACAGGCAGCATGTCATCACAAACCCTGGTGGTTCACATCCTGGCTGTGCGCTGATAATGGATCATAGATCAATGTGGCAGAGTTATTTATTTATTTTCTTTGTATGGTCGTCTGAGACCTGCAGCTCTAATTACAAAGATCTAGATAATAAAACTTTAGATTTCCAGGTTTAGCAGAAAGCCAGATTACCTGCATCATAGAAACATATTCACTTCTTTTTCCTCACTTCTGACCGGTTTATTTACTCTAAATGCACATGGAATATTTCCCATTTGTTTCCCAGCTGTCAACAATAAAGATAGTATTAGACCACTAATTGCATTTCCTGCGAAAATGCATTGTGAATGCTTATTGCTGAATAAATTGCAGAGAAACAGCTGAAATTAACTAAAAACAAGCTGAAATGTAGCTGAAATGGGAGAACGAGCCTAAATTAGCAGAAGAAAGCAAAAAGACCGTATGTTTGTTGGAATAAGTTCAAATAAGCAGAAATTAGCACAAAAATTAAGAAAGTAGCTAAAAAAAAAACAAAATTAGCAACAACAACAAAAAAAAATGTCTGAAAAGTAGCTGAAAGGCAGAAAGAACATTAAACTACCAGAAGGAAATGGAAAGCTGAAATGGGCTAGTAAATATGTGGGATTGGCTGAAAAAGCTAAAATTTGCATAAAACAGCTAAATAGTAGCTGAAATAGCTGAAACTTGCATTATGCTAGCATAACTAGCTGAGAATTTAGAAGTTGTCTAAGAAGTTAGAAGAAGCACAACAATTTTCTAGTTAGCAGAAATAATCTGAAAGACACACAAAACAGCTGAAATTAGCTGAAAGTTGCTGACAAAAAAGTTCAAATTTGTGCAAAGCAGCTGAAAGAAGCTGAACCAGAACAAAATGTGAAAGGAGCAGTGAAAGGTTGTAAACAGATCTAAAGATGTGAAGGATGTAAAATGAGCTCAGTTCATGTTCTATGAGAAAAAAATGGCAGAAAAGGCTAAATATAAAAAAAAAAAAGAAGAAGCTAAAGGTGCACCAATACCAAAAGTCACAGCAGGATTGCCCTGAAAGAGCTGAACGTTTTGATATATCATTTGTTGAAATAGTTTGAAAACTGCAGGACGAGAATCACACCGAGGAGCGTATGGAAGAAAAATGGATCACAATAGTGTGAATGCTTCGTAAACATTCACACAACAAGCATCAGCTTAGTCTCTTTCTTATGGTTTGATCAGTTTGCATTAAATGACACTTCTGCTCAGTTTTGGAATTTCATATACCACTAAAATAAGACTCACATCTGAAATAATGTTATGGATTGCATTTAAATTGTGTATTTGTGCTGCTGGTTATCAGTGTCCCCCTCGTACCAGTTTTGTGTGTATGTTTGCGTTTCCTCTGAGGTGTGCTGGTGTGGCTCGGTAATCCGCCTTACATAACCCTGAGACTGTTCCCAGTGAGCACCATAATCCCTCACAGGGACCATCTCTCCTCTCTGAGCTGCAGAAATTTGAAACAAGCTAATTTTTCCTCAAAGTGCCAAACACGCTCTCGGATGAAAATATTAACCTTAACAGGTCAACCAGATTTACTGATCAGCTCATGGCAACACAAGTTAATTTAAATTAAACACATGTTGCTAAAAGAGAGAGGAAAAAAAGACTAAAATAAAAGAACATGAATAGAAAATAGGCAGTTGTATCATTCTGTTGTACTCTTTCCTCATCAAGGCTTCATTAAAAAAATTTTTTTGTAGTTTTTGGTTAAACACACCCTGTAGTTTTCTTTTTTTTTTGTTAGATTGTGTGTATGATCTAAAAATTAGTTTCTTTTAAAGGAACAATTCAGAACATTTCTGATGTGTCTTTACATTGAGCTTTAAAAATATCTGATTTCTTTAACAGTTCTGACAGTATAAACTTCCATCCATCCATCCACCCATCCATCCATCATCTTTACCCACTTCTTCCTTTTTGGATCGCAGAGATCACTGGTGCCCATTTCCAGCAGTCAATGTGAAAGAAGCAGGAGACACCCTGGACAGGTCTCCAGTCCATCACAGGGACACATAGAGACAAACGAGACAAACAACCATTCACTCTCTCACTCACACCTGGGGACAATTTAGAGTTACCAATCAGCCTAACATGCATGTTTTTGGTCTGTGGGAGGAAACCGGAGTACCATGCATGCACGGAGAGAACATGCAAACTCCACCCAGAAAGGCCCCCAGCCGGGATTTGATCCAGCGACCTTCTTGCCGAGAGGCAGCAGCTCTACCAGCTGAGCCACCGTATACTCACCGATTATAGATTTAAATTTAAAATGCTGAATTTTGAGCGTATTTGTTCTAAATCCTGCTTTAAGACGTTGTCTTTGCCTAGTTGTCACTATGAATATAAATTAAAACTAAAGCATATTATTTTAATAGGACAGATTTGGCAAATATGCGGTTATGTTTAGAAAACTATATTTGGACACAAGCTGGACATTTTAACACTTAAGACGTCACGCTACATTTATTGCTTATAGATGAATTATATTGTCATCTCACTGTAAGCTTAAATTATGAAACATATTTTGCGCGTGCGGACAAAGGTTCATATTATACTCCGTCTGGTGACACTGGGTTGATGTTGTTACACTAAAACTGAGTCAGTAGTGACATTAATCAGTCTGTAAACAGACTATCAGTATCAATTTTGAGGATTGTCTTCTATTTTTTTTAAAATATATAATATAATTTTTAAGCCCCTAATACTTTTATTATATATTTATTAAGATTTATTGGAGGGTTTGGAAAGTTAGCAGAAACACAGCAGGGCATTTGCAAAATAATCAAATTAATTTGCTCAACAAGAAATCAGAAACTTGTTTGGGTTTGACAAATTTCTTAAAACATGAGTTGCATTTGCGTGTTTAGTTTCTTCAAGTAGAAACTAATTCAAATGATTATTTATGTTTTGTTTCTGGAGCACACACATAATCATTAGGCTTCTGCTTATTGCCCAAGGACATTAGAGCGTATAGAAGTCAGGAATCCATTCTCCGACCTTCTGCACTGTGTCCCCCTCACATCAGAAAGAGTCCAGTATTTGCAGCAACCATTGTCAGATTTTTTTATGCAGTATCTCTTTCACCATGAGCTTTGTGTTTATTAGCCGCTGCTCCACTTTTGCCATCCAACTCTTTGAAGGCAGCTGGAGGAAGCAGAGTGGGGGGTGGGGAGCGGCTGTGGGGCTAAGAGGCTTAAATCCAATACAGCTTCAATTTAGCCTCCATCTCTGCCCCTGCTGTCTCCTCATCTCCCCCTCAGTGCTTTTGTTTCCTCCTTCTCTCCGTCTGTCTTCTGCTCCATCAGCTGAGGTGTAGCCTGTCGTCTTTCACGTCACGAGACTTGTTTCGCATCATTGCGTCCACCTTGAGCAGCTCAAACTGCGTCTTTAATCCAAATAAAGACAAATCCACACCAAGTCGTGCTGGAAACTCACGCATCATCGTCGCCACCTTTGGCTCCATGTGGTGTGATTTTTCACATTCGGCTCTCACACAGACAACAGAGCGATCTTTAGTTGGATAAAGCCATGACTCATATGTGCGTGTGTCTTACTGGAGACTGATGGTCATTTAAAAGCTCCGGAAAGTGATCTTGTTAATGACTCAGTGGCAGCAACAGTTCATGGCTGTTGAAGATGATGTCATGAGGAAGCAGGTGCTCAAAGACAGACTGGTTACAGCGAAAACACAACAGGCCCCGCCCTCTTTGTGTCTGTTTTGACCTGATATCACAACGGTTTTTATCTTTGTTGCTTTATTCCTTTTAACTTCTAACATACAATGTGTAGTTTTACAGACACGGCATAACTCTTTGTATGATTGATGCCACTGGAAGGCTTAGTCTGGTAAATTAGCAGCTATCGTTTACATCCATTAGTGTTCAGCTATCTAAAACTGCAGTGTTTTAGCCTTCGCTTGTCTTAATGCACTTTGTTATTAGGTGCTCCTACGTGTGCTCAGCGTTTCTTGAAGGAATTCATATCTACTGCCACATTTCACAACAATGTTTGAAACTAAGATTATCTTATAATTAGAAATAACAACAAATAGCTGTTTTGAATAAGTCTTAATAAAAAAAATATGCTCAGCCAGGTAGAACTCAAAGTACTTTTTGGAAATGACTTCAAATTTAAGCTCAATATCAGTAACACTGGACGAGTTGAAGCCATTTCCAGGGTCGATTAGTTGTGGCTAACTTACAATCAGTTTGTTGGTTAATTTGATATTTTGCTAACATACCAAAAGGATTGCCTACAATAGGTA